ACGCCAACTTGCTCCACTTTGCTTGAATAATTGTATTGCCAAATAAAGAAAACAATTAATGATGTGTTGCTCCTCTCTTTATTTTCTTCTCACGCCTGCTGCTCAATAATTCCGATTCTTGCCCCGCTGCTGCTTTGTATAATTTTATCTTGCCAAATCTCATTTCTTTTTATCTCTATCTTTTTAATAGGAATCCTATTACAAGTAGAAGACTTTTTATCAAATAACAAGGAAACCAAATAAAAATAATATACTACCAAAAATAAAAACTAATATATTTATATATATACAAAAATAAATTAGAAAAGCAAAATAAAAAATTAATAAAAAAAAATGATTTAACAATCTCCCCCTTTTTTCTTTTCTGAACAAAACAATATATTGAACTAAGCACTAAACACTCCCCCTAAATACCACATTGAAAAACATATATAAAAGAGATAAGGAATAGAAATGCAAACAGTGGTAAAGTCAAGCACTGCATCTCCCCCTTTTTGGTCAGAAAACAAGGACTCTAAACGTTGAGATATGAGAGTGGTGTGCCCAGAGCTCAGCTTCGGCTCCCCCTCAATTCTTGCACTAGACGACTGTACAATCGAATAAAATCCTCCTCCACATTTTCAACATCTTCAGGACCAAGCAATACCACCAGAAATCCCCTCAGTATGAGTACAAAATCACCTAATAAAGTGAACTCTAAGAAGGTCGATCATAGTACCCAAGATCTTCAAGACATTACTCCCACTCAATTCAAGTAGGTTGCCTGTAACAGCGTTAATGCTGCATCCCTCATATTTGTGCCTTCTGATGAGACCCAGCATATGCAGCTAACTGAGAAAAGGTCCACACTGTGCCAGATATGATTTCTTCAGACTTAACAATTTTAACCAAATCATTTGTATATTCTCGCTCATTAGAGAAAAATGAAACAAGTTCATCATGAGCATCACTCGACTGTACAAGCACAGTAAGAGAAATCTTGTCGTAAAGGCTGCATATTTTTGGAGGAACGGAATGCACAAGCATATCTGACTCTTGAGAACAATGGAAATCTGAGCTGCAAAGGCACATTATACTTCTGAATACAAAAGAGAGTACGAGTAGAGGCTCGCCGTCACCGCGGTGAGATAAATCGTCTGCTTCTGTGATCTTAGAGACAAGGGCGGTGATGAATAGTCGCGGTCTGAGACTACAGCGGCTTGAAAGCTTCACCCGGCAGAACATCCACATAATTGGAAGAATGAAATTTCCGTACCTCGGTTCGGATGCCAAGCCCTAGAGAAGAGAGCAAAGGTACGTGGAATGGCAGCGGTGCGGCAGAGTCATGGGTGGTCGGTGATAGTAGAGGCATGGTCTCACTTCGGCGAGAATCCGGTCTGGAGCGCCTAGTCGATAGCTGCGGCCCCCAAGCAGAGATCGGCCCGTGAGCATAAATCGAAGGAGCGGGAGTCAGAGCTAGCATCGCCGGTTGAGATTCATCACCCTAGAGTGACGGTAGCCACGAAACACGACCAGACGGTGGCGAACGACGAGTCGCTGTGACCGGCGGCAAATGAACGCGGCGGGACACTCGGCCAGCGACAAAGATAAATTCGGCAAAAACATACCAATCGGAGCCGATTTCCTGGTCGATCGACGGGGGTCATCGGATTTTGTGGAGAACGAGAGTCCACCGGAGAGAAGTTTCTCTAGGATTGAGAGAATTAAGAGAATGCTGAAAGCCCTAAGATTTGAATAGTCGATGTCATGTGAGAGAAATAAACTTGGAAGAGAAAACATGAGAGAGGAGAGATGAATAACCGAAAAGAAAAGAAAAAAAAAACACTAGCAACTTAAGATTTTTTTAATATAAAAACGAAAAAAGAACAAAAAAAATGCTAGCAAATAAGACTGGAAGAAAAAAAACATGCAGGACAGAAACGTATTACTCTAAGGCGCGGGCACGGCTTAACAAAGAACTCTAATGGGGAATAAAAATCACATAAAAACATAAACAAATTTTACTAAAGCATGGGCACGACTTAAAAATGAACTCCAAACACTAGAGACAACATGGCATCTAAAGAATAAGAAAATAGACCAACGGGATTGACACGCACATAAATCATTACGAACACACCAAAATCAATAAGAATTATATTAACACATGAATATCAAAACCGTAAATATAGACTTCACAATCATAATGCACGTCAATCTCATAGTCACCCAATTTTTCCAAACTCGCGAACTCACTCCACAGAAAGCAGTACTCATTCAAAGACATAAAAGATAGTTCCATAATTCACACATTGCACAAAGAAACAAGATCATAACTTTAACAATTCACCAAGTATGCATGTCCTAACTATGCCTGAAAAGAATGCCTAAGAAAGTAAAAGAATTTTTTTAAAAAAAAGAACGTGAACGGTATAATCAAAGTTAGCACAAAAGAAGTAATGACACACTTAACACCTTTACATAGACTAAAAATCACATTTCACTTTTTTATTTTATTTTATTTTATTGTTTTTAACATGAAGGAATAATGACCATGGGGTAGCTTTCACGCTAAACCAAAGGTAGCCTTCTTTCTACATGATCATACCTCTTTCAACATATTTTTAATTATAGAAGAATTCGGTCACAAGGATTAGCTGCACACTAATGGAGTAGGTAGCTCTTTCCCTTCACAGTCTCCAACATGCAATTTTTTTTTTTTTTTGGAGATACGACCAACAATCCATTTATCAAGTGAAAAAATGCACCACTACGACTTCATGCCTCCAAAAAATATACCATTTGTGCAATAATAATGCACATATGAATGAAAAGAAATAAAAAAAAAAATACATGTATGCAAAATTCGTGTTACAACGATGATGCAACGTGAATGTTGCAACACGATTCCTATTCTAATTCAAACAATGCAAAAAATCGAGAGATTTCCTTAAGTTAGAAAACCCCTCATAATTTAATGTCTTGGTGAATATATCAGCTAAATGATTCTCGGTCCCTATGTACTCAATGCAAAATATGTATTTCTCAACTAAATCCTGAATAAAGTGATGTCTTATATCCATGTGTTTTGTACAAGAATGTTGAACCGGATTTTTTGAAATATCAACGCACTCTTGCTATCACAATATACGGTTAATAAATCACTATGTCGACAATAACTCTCAATCATTTGATTTATCCGTAAAAGTCGACTACAAGAAAAATTTGATTTTAGATCATGCAAAGACACCATATTCACAAGAATTCTCTCAAGAAGATTATCATTAACACTACTGAAAACACCACATAACTTTCTTACCATTAAATGAAACAAACTACCATTTGTTACCTCACCAAAGGATCGCGACAAAGGATTAGATTATCGAACTACTCTTCCCCGGTCAGTAACATTCACATCAGATCGTGTCTCAGCCTCGAGAATGATAATCTGCTCGTCGGAGATATGTGTCGCCTCAGATGCTGTGTCTGGTGTCGTGTCAGGTATCATGACATTTGGGGCAACATCTGGGACGACATCTGGAGCATCACTGCTCTGCAAAAGGTCCATCAAATCCCGAATGTCATCCTTAGCATTTTTGACCCGATAGCAATTTTGGGTAGTTCGTACACCTGCCAAAATACATGAATTAGCCTCATCAAGACTTCACAACAATTACGATCAAACTTAACGTGGAGATTATCATCACAAAGTTGACTTATGCTAATCAAGTTAGCCTTAAGTCCATCAATTAACAACACATTCTGAAGCTTTGGGAGGCCATCAACATTGAGTGTTCCACGTCCAATAATCTTTTCATGCTCATCTCCCCCGTATGTAACACGTCCACCTTCATAAGGTTCTACATTGGACAAGAACTCACGAGTGTCGTTCATGTGCCGCGAACACCCGCTATCAAAGTACCACGATCCTGCAATATTAGACTTCAAAGACGTGTGAATAACATTGCATTTCAACTCAGATTTTGGTACCCAAACAAATTTTCTTTAGTCCCAGTTATCTGATTTTGGGGCATATTACGAGATACGAGAGGCACCACTGGTTCACAAGACCTATCAAATGAATGCAATTTATAACAATAAGGTCTAATGTGCCCGGGTGCATGACAATAATGACACACATATCTACGCCTTTGTTGTTTAGTATTCTTAAAAACCTTGGGCGTAGATTTTGAATCATACTTACATGTTTCCTCCGAAGAAAGCACAAATATGGTAGGCTTAAAACCAAGTCCCGCTTTTTTTATGATTATGTTCAAGAGCAGCTAGGACATCCAATTGGCTCTTACCAGTTAAGTCGTTGGAAGGTCTGACGGGAGTATTTAAGTTCCTCTCTTACCTTCACCATCTTTTGGTCATGGCAGAGATGCTCACTTCCAATTGGGTTATGGTAGACTTCAAAGCATCGTTCTCCTCTTCCAACTTTTTAGCCTCTGACTTCATCCTCTTATTCTCATCC